ATAGTACTTAACTCTTATGATCCTTGATATCATGAACACAGTAAATTATATCCATATCCTTGATTTATATAGTACTTAACTCTTATGATCCTTGATATCATGAACACAGTAAATTATATCCACAACCTTGATTTATATAGTACTTAACTCTTATGATCCTTGATATCATGAACACAGTAAATTATATCCACAACCTTGATTTATATAGTACTTAACTCTTATGATCCTTGATATCATGAACACAGTAAATTATATGGTAACACCTTACAACATTTACTTACAATTTGTTTAACTTTATACCGTCTGAACAGACGCTGCTAGTTAATATTATGTCTTTATGTGTTGTTTATTTTACTAACTTTTATATGTATCGTATAATATCGCTGATTAATTCAACACTGAAGATTCGAAAATTTGGTTTAAATTAGAAATCCACCAATGATTTCTTCGTATCACTAGCTTAGATACGTCACATATTTATATTTGTTAGTAGTTTAGATTGACTCTATGTTGAGCCCTAGTGACCTATTATATGACCTTTACAGCGTCACTGTCAGTGTATTCACACGGGAGAAGAGAATTACCGACTTTTAACTGGTTTCTGAGTGGTGCAAGTAGGAAGGACGATTTTGGTATCCTGTTTGTAAATTTATATGAAAAAAAAAACACTGAAAATACTGTTAGTTCCGTTAAAACCCTAGAAAGAGATGAATGTGTGCAGTCTGCCATATTACTTATATCTCTCTCTCTCTCTCTGTAAATATAACTTATCTGCAAAGTGTAAGGCTTTTACAAAATGCAGACTCAGAATTAAGGTTGTTCACTAAATCTCAATGAACCGAGCTCTGTGAATGCTTTGTTTTCTGTCAGTTTTCTTCGCTAACCCTAGTCTCTGTGTCCTTATTCTGAATGTTTTATTATTCAACCATGTGCCGCTATTGTTTTGATTTCGACGTCTTTGACTTCACGAGTAATTTACCTATCAATGATATCCTCGCGATATTTTTCTTATTGGTAAGGTAACCTACCAGTTTAGTTGTGGTAGTTTTATTACGTAATGGCATCACAATGCGCATACATGACACCTTTTAAAACACTTATCTAAGCTTCAATATAAAAATGACTCACCTAATTTAAACATTTCAAATAATCACCTTAGATTTACGTTTATAAAACACTCACCTCCGATGTATGTTTAAAATCACTTACCTCAGTTTTTCCTTTTGACACACATCTAGCCACGTTCAGGGGTAATATAGTCAGAGAATTCTAAGAATGGAAAGAGTAAAAGAAACACATTTATGAAACTAATAAACTAAAGCCACCACAAATAGAGAAACTGCATTAAGCATGTTTATTAAATATAGTCGTACAAGTAATTATTGCTGGATACATGAAAATGCTTTAATTTCCATGTTCTTTCTATAGGTAGCGCATATTCCCATGATTTTGTAGATGCATCAGTTAGCCATATTATTATCGATATTCCAATCCTTTCGATGCAACAAATTAGCCATATATCTGAATAAATATTAAACTTCATATTTCTACTTAACGCAATCAGTAGACAGATACCTAAATACGCGACAAACTTTATCGTCGTGTGAGGCAATCTGTAGACAGATACTTAAATATGTGTTATTTTCTGTTATGTGTAAGATTCACCAACTGGCTGGTTACAATATATCCCTATGTTTTTTACAGATGCACCAATCCCAGTGTTTGTAACAGATACTACAGCTAGTTGGGTGACTATAAATACGTCAATCCCAGTGTTTGTAACAGATACTACAGCTAGTTGGGTGACTATAAATACGTCAATCCCAATGTTTGTAACAGATACTACAGCTAGTTGGGTGACTATAAATACGCCAATCCCAGTGTTTGTAACAGATACTACAGCTAGTTGGGTGACTATAAATACGTCAATCCCAGTGTTTGTAACAGATACTACAGATAGCTGGGTGACTAGAAATACGTCAATCCCAGTGTTTGTAACAGATACTACAGCTAGTTGGGTGACTATAAATACGCCAATCCCAGTGTTTGTAACAGATACTACAGCTAGTTGGGTGACTATAAATACGTCAATCCCAGTGTTTGTAACAGATACTACAGATAGCTGGGTGACTATAAATACGTCATGTTCCACTACCCCTTTCTTCCTCTCATATCCTACATACATATCCTACTCAATGCTCAAGGTTTGTCTGACATGATATTTATCGAAACTGTCATCAGTATATTAGGTAGGATATCGATAAATGTATAAAGGAAATATGTGAAGTTTATATCCACGACAAATTTAGAAACACATTCTGTTGAGTAATAAAGAAGATATATATCAACAGAACATTATTCTCCTCAATGTTGCAGTGCCCTAACTTGGATCAATTTTTCAAGGTATCGGTGGTAATCCTTACTATGATAGTGACCTTTGATCCAGGTTAAAGTTTAATCATGCATGCCACGATATAGTTAGTACTTTTCAGTTGTGTGATGTCTGGGTAAAATGTCTTGTCATTTTGATAGATTTGATCTTCAAAATCACACGTGAATCGTGATTTCAAAAGAAATTACTGTTAGTGGGAGGACGCAATGAGTTTGGAAACGATTTAATCCCATTATCAACGATGAAGTTCTTTCGAAATTAGGATTAATATAAACATACGTCCACTTATATTAACCGGTAAATCCGAAATTAGGATTAATATAAACATACGTCCACTTATATTAACCGGTAAATCCGAAATTAGGATTAATATAAATATACGTCCACTTATATTAACCGGTAAATCCGAAATTAGGATTAATATAAATATACGTCCACTTATATTAACCGGTAAATCCGAAATTAGGATTAATATAAATATACGTACACTTATATTAACCGGTAAATTCGAAATTAGAATAATATAAATATATGTACACTTATATTAACCGGTAAATCCGAAATTAGAATAATATAAATATACGTACACTTATATTAACCGGTAAATCGTACAACTCACAGTCGACAATTCATTCTGAATTTCAAGAGGTGCCACACATTTATTTCACATGTAAATGTAAGATGCACACAGCTGGTATACCATACAGTACAGTCAGCTCATTTCTCTTTATAACATCCCTCTGCGGTACATTCTGTAAATCCTTGGTTTTCTTTTGCAATGTTCTTGGGTGCGTAAAGAAATATCATTTAAATTATGATGACTATTATACATAAAAATATTATTTAGTTTAAAACCTAGGGAAAGCCCTAACTCCGTTCTAAATACAGAGATACAATAATCAATCCGTTTAGACAATGGTTAAAACTCATCACACTAATATATGTTCTACCATATATGTTCGTATTTATAGTACGTTTCGGAAACGCCATTCCCTGCAATACGGCTCCAGGGTTTTGATCTCATCGGTCTCATGTTGTTCATTGAACGTGCGGTCGACAAGTTAGAGATCGCTTTCTCGTGCCTTCACTCACCAGGTTGGGTCATGTAATTATTTGTCATTATGGTTCTGAAAATATCAGTTACGTAGACGGAACTATTATCTTCAAAGCTAGTGTTAACCTCAGGCACCTTTTAAATCTCCTGATGTTAAGGTGTAAAGTAACGATTTAATCTTATCACTTTCAGACACAATACAATGCCACTTACAAAGATCAAGTTAGGACAAATAACGTATTGGAAAGCTTAGATAAGACTGATTGTCCTAACCAATTGTAGAATGTCGTTCAAAGTGTGGGAAGTGAGAGAAAAGCCACTAATTAGA